GGCGGCTGCCGCCCCGGTTTGCTCCTTAATGGCTCTGCTGGGGAAACGCTTTATCCATCTCTGACCGCACAGGCTTGAATTACTGAACCCCCTCCCACGTTCCAGCCTAATAAAATAATTCATCTGCTTATCTTTATTATAAATATATATATATCTTTTAAATCTTTTTTTTCCTCTTTATTTCCATCCAATAATAACGTTCGCTCTCGTTACAGTTAGTTCGCTGTAATAAACCGAATTATACGACTCGGCATAATTTCAGTTTTTCTCCTCCCCCTTCCCATTGTTTACTTATAATTTCGTGAGATCTTTATGCATTTGGCGTGACTTATTGCCTTTTTTTTTTTTTCTCAAAAAGGAAAAAACCCCAAAGCCACGCAGTTTTAGCCCGGAATCTGTATTTATGGACACTAACATGATTTGGCACAGCTTAGGGAAACATTGTAAATGTAGATTTTTATAACCCCTCACTCACCCTATTCCCCCCGAAAGTATTCTCTCTAAGAACATTGAGGACAATGGAGACTAGTCTGTCATAACTATTGCTCAGATTTAAGGCATATTTTAACATTAATACTAAACGAATTACATTTTGACCAGATTTTTTTCTTCCAAATGTTTTTAAGGTATCACATTTGTAGATAGTAGGGCCACAAATGTAATTTTTTTTTTAAGAAAAAAAGACTCTCTAAGTAAGTTCTCATACCATTTAAGGTATATTTTTGTGTTATAGACCCATGCAGATGCAAAAGTCCAAGTGCTGGACAATCAAAACGTAAGCTTGTCATTGTTTAATGCATACTTAAACAATTTTATTTTTGTCTTGAAATTATTAATAATGTGATTTTCTGTCCGCTTCCCTATCCAGGTGTCGAATGGATGTGTGAGTAAAATTTTGGGCAGGTATTACGAAACTGGCTCCATCAGACCCAGGGCAATCGGAGGTAGTAAACCGAGAGTAGCGACTCCAGAAGTTGTAAGCAAAATAGCACAGTATAAACGAGAGTGCCCCTCCATCTTTGCGTGGGAGATTCGAGACAGATTACTATCAGAGGGGGTCTGTACCAACGATAATATACCCAGTGTAAGTTCATGAAAAAAACCTTCTATCTGCTGTGTACAATGCCTGGGTAGCTGTAGCGAGCCTCTGTTCCCTTTGTTTTGATATCAGATGAGAGGATAGCAGGTTCACATCATTTGCATGTGGCAGGGTCAGACACCTTTTTTCATGCAGAACCTGAGAAATGCCTTTAAGGAGGAAAAAAAAAAAAAAATCCCGGGTCATCCCTTGTGCCTGACGCCTCAGGATTTCGAGCATCGGTTAAAATCATCAGTCTGTTTTCGCAGGGTTGTGGTTTTTGGTTTGGGGTGTTGTTTTTTCTTCTTCTTCTTTTTTTTTTTTTTTTGGCTTGCTCGTTTGCTTAAACCAACAACAGTAGATGATGAGGGGTAGCTGGTAAATCGCGGTACAGGGGCGCGCAGCCCCGCGGTGGCTGCTGCGCGCAGGCTGCGCTCGGGTAACCTCTTGAATTGCGTGCAGGTGACCCCCCAGCGCCGGCGCG